GATTGACATCGACACTGTATGCTGTATATGGAGATGATTTTTTCGAATGCTCACTTTGGTATTTCAATGCTATTGTTTCCAATCTGCTGTTCATGCGAGAGCTTGTATTTATTTGTCAATCTCTGCTATTGACTGGGACAAAACCCCAATCCAAACAAAGGAACTGAATAAAGATTGATGTGGCCTGTGAAGCAAAGGATCGATATCAAAACTATATGAGACAATGATAAAACTCATCATCAATCCAGGATATAAAAAGGGATCATTGTCTTCCTCCTTCAAAGTCCCATCCCTTTTACCACTGCCACTTGTTCCTATATCTTTCCCTCAATATTCTTTATCTATTCGCTTTGAATCTTTACACCATAAAAAAGCTCATCATTTTATACCTTTGTCGCTCTCTTTTTTTTTTTTTTTTTTTTTTTTTTTTTTTTTTTTTCATTTCTTTTCATCACCACCATTTTTCCTTTTTTCTTTCTCTTTTCGCTTAGATATTGACCATGGGGCTGAAGTCCTTCTTCAAACTGGTTGCGGATCGCGGGGTTTTACCTTCGGAAACTGACGTGGGCACTTTCTTGGCGGCAAATCCTGACCATTCTGTTCATTTAGATCTCCTCGGTACGTTCTATTACGACATCCTCCGCAGAGTCGTCCATGCAAAGATGAAAAACGAAACCATCATTGATGTAGGAAGGTCCCTGGCACTCGAGATAAAGGATCTTTTCACAACGGACAACCTGACTATACATATTGATGGGGAATCTTGTACTGAGAAAGAAAAAGCAAGGACAGAACGGCAAGCCATAAGACAAAAAAATATGGACGCTTTGGAGAACAATATGAGCATCTTCGAGAGAAATTCTCGGTATGGACTCGTCCTCAAGTCATGAGGCGCATCCAGAAGGGTCTTCGAGAAGTCCACACCCTGAGCGTCCAGGACAAGGATCAGCTGGCAACAGGCCTTAGTTCTGTCTTCGATGTCTGTCTGTGTGCATATGAAGCGGACCCATGCATAGGGTGCCATGATGAGGAGAATGATAGGATCGTGATATCCCAAGACTCTGATTTTTTTGCGTACGAACGAGTCTGCTTCCTAGTGCGACCCCTTCCGCACCGTAGACGGAAGTTTGGGGTTTACGATGTAGACAACGTTATCCAAGCACTAAGACTGCCAACACACGCGCATCTGGTGTTATTCTGTGCCATCGCAGGCAATGACTACTCAAGGAACCTCGAGACGTTAGGCCCGATTACTAATCTTCGATTAATTCGAAAGGTTGCGTGGAACGAGAACTACAATAAAATGCTTCAAGATTACCTCAGGGAAGCTAATAAGGTGTTGGGAAGGAACGTAGCCTCTAGGGAAGGCCGTTTCAGTGTAGCTCCCCGCATTTTTACTTCCGGCCATCAAACGTTGGGCCAAGCGTTACCATCGAACAATGAGTTCGATAACTTCAAGCAGCGTCTACTCAATGGAAAGGATCTTCGCCATAGAATGGCTCAGCAAAGGCGAGCGCAGCGCCGCAGAACGTAAGAAAGCTCAAGCTATAGTTTTTGGCCTTGAAACCAGACGTCCCCAATACTAATCGTTAGTCCCTTTCTTGAATAATGTAGAGGCGTACCATCATTCTATATAGCGGAAGGGGCACATAGGAACCAGTTCCGGCCCATCTTTTCTGACAAGCCGAGCATATTGAATGGGCGCACAGTTGATATCAGTAACTGCCGTCAGCACGATAGGCGAGGCCTTAAGCATCCACCACGTCGGAGAAAGGCAAAAAAGAAGCAACAGAAAAAACAAAAGCGGAAGCACAAAGGCAAGAAGCCCCACAGGGCTAAAAAAGAAGGTGCACCAATTAGGAACTTGAAGGATGCTACGAAGGTTGATCACAGCTACAGCAGTAAGCACCCTATCAAGGCCTTAACAATTGGGTCCCTTAAGGCCTCCGTGGCAAGGAAAGGCGGACTGGACGCAGATGAAAGGGATAGTATTGCAAGCCAGATCCGAGGGGCAGTTGTTGTCCTCAACCGACTACGCCGCTATGCATACTGGGCGATTGCCTTGGACATTGAGAGGATCATGCGGTTACCAGGGGCAGCAAAGTCGAGGAAAAAGGCACTGGACGAGGTCTTGGATAGCAATGATTATTCCTTCCGTCTCGCCACCCTTCTTTTGAGTGGTCAAGGTGGCCCCAATTCAGCTTACGCGAGGGCAAAAAAACAAGGAAAGGCGGTAGAAACGCCCCATCATCACCTCGCTTATGAACATTTCAAGGTCACCACTGAACTTTCCCCAATAAAGGATATAGACATCACATTGGGGGACTTCCAAGGCTTTGATCCCAAAAAGATCACATTTCCAAGAGCGTCAGACTTACTAATGGGCCAAGTACAGACATCATTAAGGCAGCACTACAGGAACGCAATGGTATAGCTTGTATAGGGGTATTTCCATGCATATTCTGCAATCGAATGCTCTTTATTCAGACTCTTTTTTTTATTTTTTTTTCTAGTTTGATGTCGAGAAAACAAACGAAGATATGAGCGACATTGAGTTTTTTTTGCGGGAGAACAAAAAAGTGAAAAAATACTCAGACTTTCCTACGTCCTCCTGGTCACCCGGGTATGTGTATCTGTCTGAACACGCCCTAGTTGACATCCTCTGGGCGAACGAAGATACCAAGCAGCTGCTGGAGCGTATTCTGCCTCTCGACAATCCTTCCAAGACTGCAATGTTTGAGTGTGTACAGGGAACAAAAGGGGTTTTGATTCAGGCTCTCTTTTGTGACATTGGAGGTGATCGCATGGTTCGTGGATATCAAGACAAAGATCTAACTCGGTTCAAACTCAAAGGAACGATTTCTACCAACGGTCTAGTTCTGAATCTACTTGCCTATGACACAACCCAGACGAAGAGACAGCAGCAGTCTGACGTACATGAAGAAGACCCCAGCCAAGAACTGGAGCTTTCTCAGGGATTTCTCAACACGATGTGTTCAAAGGCGGCCGGTGAAGACCTGACAGATGAAGACTACGCAGACATAAACTGGAAGAGGAGCTCCAAGCTGCTTGAAAACGTTGAGCTCACATTCAACAAACCAGGGCGATGCCCATCCGCAAACACCACAACTATCGTCGGATGTGATCCTGGTATTGTTAACGCCCTTACGTTTTCCTCCCTGGATCCTCACAACCCTAACTTGCGGCAAACGGTAAAGGTGAGAAGCAGGTTCTTGTACCTCCCCGTCCTCCGCTTCAATCACCTGTTGAACAAAAGGAAGCGTGAAAAAGGAATGATTGAGGTTGAGAGCGCCATCCCTGTGTTTGGAAGGGATACGTATAATGAGTACTTTCAATGGATGAACGAGGAGTCTCAGACACAGACAGGATCAACGAATTTGGATGTGCTTCAAGAGTTCTATGAGTCCAGATGGCACCTGAAAAAAAAATGGGACCTACGAAAGGCTCAACGAGCTACGTTCGACTACGCGGTACAGCGAGTGTTGAAGATGCTTGGGGATAAAGGAGTACTTGTCGTCGGCCTAGGGTCCTTTGAAAGTAGTAAAGGAGTTCCCAGCAAGCACACTGCTATAACGAGACATCTTGTCACACAGGTATGGCTTTTTTTAAAAAAGTAAGCAAAGCTGGAAAGCCATAAAACCCTTGCTAATAAACGACTGCCATTTGAAACGCTTAGGTCAAAGCACGAGGACACTTCGCTGTAGGAGCGCACGAATTTTACACCAGCGCCCGCTGTCCCCGACCCCTCTGCGATAGCTTTTTAGAGACGCTGTACCCTCGCTCTAAATATTGCAGGACATGTAAGGTATTCTTCGACCGTGACGCAGTAGGGGCGGAAAACATCGCAAAAATCGGTCTTGCTCAAATTGAGAGGCAAGAGAGACCTGCAAAGTACAGGCTCACGGAAGAGTCGCCTGCTCCGGCTGCAAAGCGCGCACGATGCTAGACACAAGTATTTGGGTGCCGGCACACCCACAAAAAATTTGTAAGTTCTGTTTATTTTCGTCTCCTGTATCCATCCTCTCTAATCTTTTGCCCCTGAATTTCTGGACTAACTTTAAAAACCGTACAGATCAACAGATAACTTGGGTGCCTATCGTGACATTTGTTGTCGTGGGACCACTGGCGAACGGTGCCTCCTATCCATAAGGAAACTCAAGGATAAAAGTAAGGGCGAAGAAAAAGATATTGCGCGAAGAAAATGGGGTTTCAGCATGTGCATAAAGATTGCTGACTCCAAAATCTAAACTAGTCTAGCGCGATGTTTAAGTGAATAATAATAAGTAAAAATTTACTGAATAAAACTTCAAGTACGGATGTTCAGTACATCAGTGCCCAAAAGGTAAATATTGTAAAATGCAGGTACATGTATAGTTTTCTTTTTAAACCTCATTTTGAGGTCTTCAACACTACGTGATGCGCAGCACTTAAACAAAAAGTTTCTCATTTGACATCGTTACCGTGCTCAAGCTATTCCAACCCCCCATCCCTTACACTAATCAAATATCTTCTTCCTTATTCACTCACCACTTTCTTTCATATTCACATTTACATTTACATTTATATTCACCTGCCTTGCGATATTATCGTTCATTTGGATATTTAGGGTAGGTATTCCTTATTCGTTGACATAATGTATTCGTAATTTAGTACTATTCAAAGCGCATGGGATCGCTCTGACGCGGGGGCTTGACTCGTGCTACAGAGCAAGCAATGAGATCAATGCACTTCTGCCCAGGTTGGCTGGGTGTCTGAGGACTTATTCGGCTGAGTCCCTTTCCAGTCATGGTTAATTTTGCCACTACTATCGGCATATTCGGAACTCTGGTTGACCTTAGTGGCGTCATCCAAAGCTTCAATAATAACTAACACTTCATTAAATTAGATAGGGTGGATTAATGGGTCATATATTGCAAACAAATAACACTATGTTTATTTGCTTTTTTTTTTTTAAGAAAGCTACGAAAAAAAAAAAAACAATGTCTCAACTTCCGCATGAGCGCTATGTGGAGCAACGCTCATTAGAGCAATACGATGCAATTGATTTCTTCGCTTTCTGTGGGTTTTTTTCGAGTCAAAAGTCACAAGCTACCTTCCAATGGAAAACTATTATTCTTCCACAAGTTCAAAAAAAAAATTACTCCCTGTACCGGCGTCTTGTTGGTTCGTGGAATGAAACAAGGTCTGCCCGGAATCAATATTGGGGGAGTAAGAGGGCACAAGAGGAACAGGATGCACAGCTTGTAAGTATAAAGAATCCAATACTTGTGAATTCGACGACAATATTTTTTATTGAGCACACAATTGTGAATTTACAACCAAGGGTCTCCACGATATCGACTATCCCCAAGTTGACTCACGGACGGGTCATGTTGAATTTGGGGGAGATTGCTATATATATATATATATATATTTTAAAACAACTGTAGGATGGATTATTAAACCATTTCTGATGCTAATTTTACTTTAGAATGACCATATCAATGTCCTCCGATCGGATGCACTCAAACAAACAAGATATGTCTCAAATTCCATCACTCAGAATGTTGGCAAGCGACTTCAAGGTATCCTTGTCATATTCCAAAACCTTCATAATTAACTATGTTCATTTTCCCATTCTTGTAGTAACATTTCGCATTATTTGGTATTTAGAGCAAGGAAAATCTCCCAGAAAAACATTTTCATGTGTTATGTTGCCACCAAGAACTGGTAAGAATAAGTATATATTATATTGTTACTATTATTGCTGTTGGTTAACATAAATAATGCTCGCCGAAGCAGACCGCATAACCGCTTAAGACTTTTATACACGTCCTGACTATTCCATGATCTTTTGTATTTACAACAGCCTCTGACATTCCAAGATCCTTTGCAAGGAGAGAAACATCTTCACCAGAAATAACACCAGCCACAAGTCCAGTAATCCCAATAGCAACTGTATCCCCTACGCCTGAAGAAGCTCCGATTCTCCCTACCAGCGCGGTCGCAACCTGTGCCACCCAAAGTATGCATGCAGAGTCACTTGAATTGAACCAAGATGTCTTAGATTTAAAAACAGACTTTAATGATCAAGACCGAGAGCACCCATTCTATGGTATATTTCAAGCACTCTATGACATTGCACACGATCGCCCATACACCATCCCATTGGCGCCTGTAATGCAAAGCTCTCTCCAAAGAAACCTTTTCCAATACGCTGCCAACCGGCTAGGAAACTTCGACAAACTGACCAAAACCAAGCAAAAAGACATATATGTTGCAGCTTCATCTATTGCGCATATTGACATGGAGGATGCTGCAGAGGTTTTTGGGAAGACGCTTCCTGGCTTGACTTCGCGGACCAGAAACCCAACTCTTGCTGATCTTCCTCAGTTCCTAGTCGATCTCCTCACGCCTCTAAAGGAGAAAGCTCTGAACGGGGATGGAGAAGTCGACAGCGAGATGTTGTATTTATATGTCGAGCAAGAGATCGGGGGCATGGCAAGCAAGGTGCTCGGGGGCACCAAAATCGATGAGCGTGAGGCCATGGTCCTCAAGATCGTGCACGAGGTGGCATCCCTATGCCGTGCGGACCCTATACCACGCCCAAGGGATACAGAGCAGAAATCCCAGGGCGTATGGGAGAAGATCTTGGGAATCCTTTTCGCCAAGACAAGGGTATCCGTGGTGATAGGGGAGACAGGGCTGCAGGAGACCAAGGCACAAAGAGAGGCCAATGAGTCTGCCCATGCAGCATGTCCAACCAACAAGCTGGTGACTCCACGAAAGGTGGACTGCAAGTTGGTTGTGTCGGTGGTGAAGTCGAAGAAGTGGGAGTTTAAGACCATTTCCAACTTTGAGCTGAAGCCACTCCAGGCTAGCAGCCAACAGATGGAAATTCAGGTGCGAAAGAACATGCGCCTGAACCACTCAGTCGTGAAGAAACTCCCATCTACTCACCACTACTTCCTCGACATCCATGGATACTCTGCACAGCTCTATTGTATTTGGGGGCATGATTCGGTTCATGTTTGTGGGAGAGTACTTGATGAAGAGCTGGTAATCCCAACCAGCGACTCAGAATTGGAATGGTTTTTGGACGGTCGATGTCTAGCGGCGTTGATGTCACTGAAGGCCCATCTCTTGGAGATCGCTCAGCAAGTCCAACGTGAACACGCTCGCCCAATGCAGGCACCCGAAGCTCCTCGAACGCCTCCGCACCGCCCTGCAACAGAAAACCACACGTTTTATACACCAAAACGAGTACGATCCAACTCCGCACCTGTCATCGTTAGCATAAAGAAGAGCAGACAAGAGCAATGATAACTTTCATTTATGATTCTAGTCTCGCCAAGCTACTACCCGCCACTCATTGCCTCACTCAGGATGTTTTTACAAACCACATGTCATTGTCGAAGTTATTTTAGCCGCGCCGTCCTCTTTTCTCTTGCAATACGCTCCATATGAAAATACACCAGCAAAGATTGAACTGCATTGACCTAAACTCACGATACCTCCACATCCCTTTCAACAACGAACACTCATACATCCTCACCCCAAAGATGCACCGGAAGCGAGCTCACTCACTCCAGTCAAGCTTATCACACCACTGCTTGCAAGGACAGCGCACCATCAATAAAAATGAGACTAAAGCGCCTTGGATTAGGAATCGCTCGATAAATGTCGACGGCATTTCTGCACTATCAATACAAGCCTAACAATAATACTGACGCCAACAACAGCACCAAGTTCAACATCAATAGTACAAGTAACGACTGGCAATTCAACTACAAGTTCTGCTGTCACAATTCCATCAGCGCGGTCGACAGCGATCTTTAATCCAGACAATGCGAGTCCTGTAGCCATTCAACTAAGGAGAGTCAAGAAGGATCTAATCAATTCTATTTCGCTTCGTTGTAGGATGTCGTGGGGCCATCCCTCTCTTCCATTTCATCTTCTGCTTTACTTTCTCCAGCTCAGACCTCTGTATTTCCCGGCAAGTTTCCAGCGCGAGATTTGCGCTCTACCTTCTACTTCCACATACCCCCCCCCCCCCCCCCCCCCCGCCGCCCCCCAATTCCTTTACCTTTCCTTTGTCTCACCCTCCCCGTGGAGCGGACTCGAACCTCTCTGATGTCGAGATACTTGGATAATCTTCACGAACAAATCCAACATGTAAGGCGACTGACGTATCCTCAGCACCTCGCAAAGAATCAACTTTGTCCTTGTGACAGCCATCAGGTTTTAAGATACAATAATACGCTTTAGTAAGAGCAATACCGTTTTCTTGCACAAAAGTGCCGATATATATTACAGAGCAAATAGTTCTTCCCGAAAACTGGTCAGCTTTGTCGATAAGAGGAAAACAAAAGAATACCGCTATTCGAAGCAAGGTGTTTATGTGGACATGACGCGAGAATTCGGCAAGAACTTCACTACTAAGGAACATGCAGTGGAGACTGGCGATAACAAACTAAAAACAAAATAGAGACCATGTATAGGATGCCTTGTATGTTATACAATTCAATTGAGGATGGTATATCAGACGGCCCAACTCTAGTCAAACAAATGGTCAGTAAATGCCGCTATTTCTCTATCTTGTTCGGGGCTGATCCACGATGTCGGTGTCTGTGATAACGAGCCTATCGCTCCTCTACCAGGCCAATGCCAAGATTAATGACATTGAAGGTTGGATTGATCAGGATAGCTCGAACGATGAAAACGATGAAAACGACAATGTTGGCAACAACAACAACTATCCTGACGGTGATGCACCTTAATTTCTGCCTCAATAAAGGCAACAATGGCAACAAGCAAACATGAATGAAGTTATAGGATTTATTTTCTATATTCTTCAAACAAAATATCCCAGGCAGACATAATAGCAAAAAAAAAAATATTAGGAATTAAAATAAATGCTACAACCCATTGTTAACCAACCCATTTTCCGCAAGATATTTCAAAGATCATTTGAAGGGCCATTCTATTATACTGGCTTCAAGTGCCTAGCTCGAGGCAGCCATCGGTGCTTAATGAATATGACAAATACACATCTTAGTAGACTTGGTTTGACATCGATCTCGAATAGAGTGTGTTCATAATTTAGTACCAAGGACTTGGCATGGAAAAAGCGAAAATTACCAGCTAGCAGTGTAAAAAGAGTGCTTATTGTTCGAATAGAGGAAGGAAGGGTCGACTCGCATAGAGAGGAAAGCCTTACTCTGAAAAATAATTACAGCTTTTTAATTCCTTTTCGTTCCAGTTGAGCCACCAACCATCTGGAGCAAACGATTGGCAGCCTGGATTTATTCTCCATAATGCGTCCTCTTCGACACCAATACCTTTTGATACTTCTTTCTTATGGAAGGGACTGCGATATCATCCAGCTATGGTGTGGAGCTGGAATATTCCAGGGATGAATATGACCTCGAAATATCAAAGTTGTGGTGGATTGCGGTAAAGCGATAAAGATGTTGCTTCCCTGCGCAAATATTTATTAATCACTTTAATGTCGGGAAGATGGGAGGGTCGGTTCAAAAATGTAGCATACGGCAAATGGCTGGGCTAAAATTATGTCGCCAGTTGATTACCATTTATTTGCTGCAAAAGTACAACTCCTTTAAGTAAGACGCAAGTGTAAAATAGATTATGTCGAAGACGCTATATTTTAGATTTGATATCAGTTTTATTGCTATTTAATCAATTCAATGTACGATAGATAGGCATGGTTGAGGATACAAAAGAAAAGCTGAAAGAATGGAGCAAGAACGAGGCACAAAAAAGGTAAAAGAATCAATAGGACGTTGCTGATACCCAAGAACTTGAATGACCTCCTATGTTGACAGGGAAATGGCTCTACATTGAGTAACCAGTCTGAATACAGTTTTATTATACAGAATAAACCACTCGAAATTATCTTCAGCAGGAATGATTCTGGAAATAGGACGATGGAAAAGTCCACAAGAGGGACAAAATGAAGATAGATGAGGAGTTTGGCATATATTTCCACGAGAAGACAGATTCCTGCTTTTGGCTTGAAGAAAACCCACATAAATCGAAAGATTCGATTGCATCTTGTTGCTCTAGCGAGCGCTGCTCCATATAGAGCTCACGCACAAGTTGATACATTAAAAAAAAAAAAAAGTGTTAATTGCATGCAAATATGGCCCATTAATTCACAATAAGTACTAACTCATCACGCCAGAAATCGTTGAAGCCTTGGATGACGCCTCCTGACCAGTGCTTTACCACTTGTATATCCATCTCACCCAAGGTCAAATAGGGCTCCGAACATGCAAGTGGTAATGGTAAATTAACCATGACTGGAAAGAGACTCAGCTGAATAAGTCCTCAGACACCCAGCCAACCTGGGCGGAAGTGCATTGATCTCATTGCTTGACCTGTAGCATGAGTCAAGCCCCGCGTCGCAACACAAGTCTGTTCTAGGGTCACTCAAGCCTTGGATGACGCCTCCTGACCAGTGCTTTACCACTTGTATATCCATCTCACCCAAGGTCAAATAGGGCTCCGAACATGCAAGTGGTAATGATAAATTAACCATGACTGGAAAGAGACTCAGCCGAGTAAGTCCTCAGACACCCAGCCAACCTGGGCGGAAGTGCATTGATCTCATTGCTTGACCTGTAGCATGAGTCAAGCCCCGCGTCGCAACACAAGTCTGTTCTAGGGTCACTCAAGCCTTGGATGACGCCTCCTGACCAGTGCTTTACCACTTGTATATCCATCTCACCCAAGGTCAAATAGGGCTCCGAACATGCAAGTGGTAATGGTAAATTAACCATGACTGGAAAGAGACTCAGCTGAATAAGTCCTCAGACACCCAGCCAACCTGGGCGGAAGTGCATTGATCTCATTGCTTGACCTGTAGCATGAGTCAAGCCCCGCGTCGCAACACAAGTCTGTTCTAGGGTCACTCAAGCCTTGGATGACGCCTCCTGACCAGTGCTTTACCACTTGTATATCCATCTCACCCAAGGTCAAATAGGGCTCCGAACATGCAAGTGGTAATGATAAATTAACCATGACTGGAAAGAGACTCAGCCGAGTAAGTCCTCAGACACCCAGCCAACCTGGGCGGAAGTGCATTGATCTCATTGCTTGACCTGTAGCACGAGTCAAGCCCCGCGTCGAAGTGACCCCATACGCTTTGAATGGTACTAAATTATGGACGCATTCTGTTCTGAAAAATGAAGCTTGGATGCATACCAATGAGATCGGTGTCAAATCAGAGTCTACTAAAACGTGTTTGTCATTCAGAATGATCTCTTTAAAATGTCTATTATATACGTCAGTTATTTTAATTCCAATTAATATTTTGATTATATCCTCACACTTGCTTTTCCTGCACTCCTATTCGCAGGGAGTTGCCACATCTTCTGTGAACAATCTCACAACCAAGCAATTGCTATTGGTCATAGGTGGAGGGGAAATAAAGCTGTAATACAAGATCTTATGTCTCCTGTAGTATTTCCTTCATCCACTATCTGGGTGGCAGTAACGGAGTGGCGAAGGGTAAAAGTAGGTATATTTAAGAACGCTTTATATCAAATATGTTAAAGGTTTTGCGTGGTTGTGTCGATTCAAACTTTCCTGGGCGTTAATACTACCTTGGACAGTAGCTTTTTTATATCACTGCTTGGCTTCAGTGCGGTCTTTAGGGGTGCCTCCCCCACCTTGGTGCACTGGAATGTCATCTCCTTTGACGGCTGTCTTGAGATACCAGTCGATGTCTCTTGAATAGCCCTGTGAAGCCCCTTTGCCTTGGTCGTATTTGGAGCCTTTACTCTGCTGAGCACTGGAATATTTTTGATGGACTGCTTTGAGATACAATTCGTCACATTTCGAATGGCCTTGAGATATGCCATTGCTGTGTTCATACATTTAGCCCACAAGGAAATGTCAATATTATATTTCAGATATAGGAACAGGTTCAAGAAGTTATGACTCTAACATGCAAGCTGTGTAAATTTCTAAGTGTAGAGAAGTATGCCATGAGTGAAAAGAGTACTAGACAACTGCACTGCTCCTTCTTCGGGTAGTCTCCAACTTACCGAATGTATGAAGTGAATCAAGAATTAACTCGAGCTTATACAAAGAAAAAAGATTAGGACTCTTTGGGATGAGATGATTTCATATCTAGAAGGCACTCAAAAGGACGTAGACAGCCCAGTAAAACCCGATGAAAGGATTTCATTGGAGAAATTCGAAAGCCTTGAATGAAGCAAGGCTTCATACGCTTGATAACCTCTGCATTAAAGGTTCTGAAACTGGACAGTCCCAACTGTGACAGACGGATCAACGATTGAAATAAAATAAGTGGTTTCGAAAAAAAAAAGAAATAGTTCATGAACCATTGACGTTAACGACTAGCAGATATTGTGATGGCGACGTCAACTTGTACTTGAGCAGGTGCGTGATTCTTATTGCTGAGCGCGTATAGGGTCCATCCATACTGATTCCTGAGAGCAGCCATCCCCAGCTCTTGTTGTCAGTGCATTGAGTACTAGCCCCATCATTAAGATCATGCCATATCTACTTTTACCCCATTTGCTTAATTGTAGACTTCAGTTTATTCATATCACACCTCCAGTATGTTCCCTCGACCACTAAGCCCCAAGTGTCTTTCACCCTTAATTTTTTCAGGAAAGTACTTAATGCGAGAGGAATGCGAAAGGTCTTATTATTCCAACATCAATCAATCAATCAATCAATCAATCAATCAATCAGTCAATCAATCATTCACTCAATCACTCAATTAATGTCGGACCGCAATAGCGACATTAGGAGTAGAGATTGCTCTTCATCCAGATCTAGATCCAGATCTTACTCCAGGTCCATTTCACCTGCTCCTCGCCATCGTCGCTCCTCACGTTCACTTTCGCCAAAGCATGAAATCTCACGTCAAGCCCCAAGCTCACTACAGCATTCTAAACCAAGATCAAGGTCAAGGTCAATGGAAGGGGCGCGTACATTTGATGATCGCAGGAACAGAAGCAGAAGTAGGAACAGAGGTCGCAGCAGGAGTCGAAACAGAGATGAAGATAGAAATAATGTCAGGGAGGCGAGTCGGAGTAGGAGAAGCAGAAGTCGGGACAGAAATTCCAACAGAGATAATGAGAGGGACATTGTAAAGACCGGAGATGATGGTGGAGACGGATATAAAAATAAAAATAGGGATAGGGACAGAGATAGAGAAGGAGACAGGGACAGAGATGTAAATCGAAATCGAGATAGGAATAGGGACAGGAGCAGAGACAGAAGGAGCGGAGACAGAAGGAGCAGGAGCAGGTCGATGAGTAGCGACAGGAAGAGTCGACATCATCATGGTTCCCGTCGAGATCATAGATCTTCTCCTTCTTCATCCTCAAGGAGGCACCATTCTGGATCACGCTCTAGATCTAGATCCAAGTCCAGATCGCGTTCCTCACCACACCGTTCTAGGTCCGGCTCCAGCAAACACCGCAGTAGTCGAAGTAGTCGCAGCCATCGTCATGGGCATCACGATAAGGGCAAAAAGCGATCACGTCGGTCCAGATCTAGATCACGATCTCGCTCAATCTCAACAGATAGATCGAGTGATTCGGATGATTCTTCTATTTCAGATTCAGAATCTGATCGTGATCGTAAGCGCAGGAAACATGGTGGCAGTAGCGGCAGCAGTCGTCGAAAGAAAGATCGCAAAGATAAGAAAAAGAAGAAAGATAAGAAAAAGAGCAAGAAGGAGAGAGGGAACAGCGCTTCTAAAGAGTTTGGAACCTATGGCATCTTGACGCCAGCAGAGTAAGTTTCTTTTTGAACGAATTGTACAATTTTAGCTGCTTTGAGCCTCCTCAGTTATTTTCCTTATTCATCTTGTCTTTTTTTTTTGCTTTACTTTCTCTCTCTCTCTCTCTCTCTCTCTCTCTTTTTTTTTTTTTTTTTTTTTTTTGCTCTTATACACCTTTATACAGTATGTGGAACAAGGAAAACGAATTTCAAGCATGGTTAATGGAGGTCAAGCATTTGAACCCGGAGACAATCCCTCAAAACAAGATGAAGGAGCATTTTGTTGGTTTCATGGAAGACTACAATACTGTGACAATGCCACACGAGAAATTCTATAACCTTGCAAAATGGGAAGAACGTCAACGAGCGATCCGGATGGGAGAACCTTTGCCGGAAGAAAAGGCAGAGAATGCAGGAGCCTTGAATTTGATGAATGATGAAGAGATGTTGAGGATGAGACAGCGTGATAAACGAAAGATGAACCTCTCGAGTCAACCGAAGATCCTAATGACCCAGAGTCAACTTCAAGAGCTGAGGAAGGTCTCGCATGAACGTGTTGAAGCAGATCGCTTAAGGAAGATGGGACTGGATGCAGGGCGGAGAGGCGTTCGATATGAGTAAGACAAGAAAAAAAGTACTCGAACTTGCAGTCGTGACGAAGCCATGGATTACACTGAGACGGAATTTACTGCGATTCGAAAAGCCCATGCTACCTTTGAAATGCCACCAATTTTGCGATAAGAACATGTTCATTTGCTGGCAATAGCAACACTATCTTGTTGATGCGCTTCTGTCATGCTTTGTAACATGAATAATCACTGCATACATTAATTTATACTACATAGCACTAGTTTCCATGAATATAGCCGTTGTACTCTTGTGTTCCAGTAGATGCGATTGTTTTGATCCCTTCATGTCACCCGGTTTGTAGCCTACCCATTATTATTAGAGACCTCAGTCTCTGGCGCCGCAAGTGTAGGGATGAGAATCGACTTGGAAAGCGCCTCAGGCTTGAATTCTACTAGTGCTTCTGTTTGCATCCCAGAAAGTTGGACGTCGCGGTGGGTCATTTACAGCTCCATGAGTCCAGCAGAAGCTTTCTGTTTGCTTTATCCAACCTAGTAGCGCCTTGAATACAAGCATTATACGCATGGAGTACAGTTTGCCTTGTACTCCATCTCAAACAGTATCGATATTGGTTACCCTCTTTGATAATCTGCCATCTCCTAATAGAAGCATCCTCACTTCCAGCCACCAAGAAGCAGCCTTCTTCAGAAACATCCCATATAAGGCTCCTAACATATCCACCTAGGTTTAGGATTTCAACCACACACTCAAATGATTGGGGATCCCACAATCGTACAAGCATGTCTCCACCAGCAGAGGCAATATAGTGGCCATCAGGTGAATAAAACAGTGCAGTAACTCCATGTTTGTGCACTTTGTGCGTATGCAACATGGTTCCTGTTTTAGTATCTACCACATTAATTCGCCCGTGTGTATTTCCAACAACCAACCGATGACCGCTTGATGAGAATTCAGTCCATGTTTGGCCTTCATTTTTCAACTCTATTTTGTGGAGAAGCTCATTTGTTTGTACGTCCCGTACTTCCAACGTATTGTTATACATAAATACTATCCCCTGACTGTCAGGCGTGTACATGATATAATGGATACACGATGTTGTTCCCCACAGTAGATGCAGATAATCTCCTGACTGCGCCGACCAGACTCTAATATTACCAGCCGAATCACAAGAAGCGATCCAATGGCCATCAGGCGAGAACACCATATACAGCAATTCCTTGCTGTCTCCTTTTAGAATGCGCTTGAGTTCTCCTGTCTGCGTGTTCCATAAACTTACTTTTCCAGTTTTATGGCCACAGGCAATTTGGTGGTCAGTGGGTGAAAAATCCATGGTCCAGATGCTATCATCATTTTCTTGTGCTCTCAAGGTGCAGGCGACTTGGTCTGTTCGAATGTCCCAAAGGTAAACATGCGCAGTGCGGTGATAAGAGGCAAGCAACTGGCCATCATGTGAATACTTGATATCGAATACTGCTCTTTCGTGGCTTCGCAAGCCATGACTGATCTGTCCTGTTCGAATATCCCATATGCGCACTGTACCTTCCCAGCCACAAGAACCTATATGTTGCCCATCCGGTGAACGCCTTATGCAGCTGATCGGGTTTGTATGGCCATATAGATCATGACTAGATTGTCGTGATTGGATATCCCAGAAGCGTATTGTGCCGTCTCTACTGAACGACGCAATCTGACGGCTGTCTGGTGAGTAGGCCACACACCATAGTGTGCTAGAGTGGCCATGAAAAGCGCTGATGAGCTGTCCTGCTCGAGGATCCCAAAGTCTTATTGTATTGCTGAGGTCATAAGTGACAATCTGCTCTCCATTAGGCGAATACTTTAAACCAATGATGTAGCCGAAGCGCCTCTCAAAAGTACAAAAAACTTTCTCTGTTTGCATATCCCACAGGTAAACCTTCCCTCCGGAAAGCGAAGCAATGAATCCTTCATTCGGTGAATATTGGATGTCCCCGATAGAGGTATCATGCCTCAAGTCCCACCTCTTTTGGCCAGAGCTCACATCATAGACATGTAGTGAGCTACTTTTAAAGTCACGAGTGATGATTTCTTCATTATCCTCGTAGCCATGGTCCATATGTGTGACCTCTTTTTATTCCTTCTGACCGAGAAAACTAAAAATAAAATAAATAAAATCTAGCGTTCGCTCTGATCTACTCTCTATCTTCTTTTTTCTCGCTCAGGAACACATCCAGCGTATTGAAGTTCCAAATGAGCGAGTATGACACTTCTGATCCAATTATACACTCTCTCCAGAGCCAGCTGGCTACACTCACCAGCCGGCTTGAAGCTCTCTCGACTAGCTCTGAATCCAGTCGATCGAACCCCTACTTGGTTCCAAAAGAACCAGCTTACGAAATTACACCTGACGACTCCATTCTCGTCCACTACCCAGCAATGGACGGGAAAGATTTTTTCAAACATAAATCTGGAAACCGTGCAGACGATCTTGCATATGCAACAGAAATGGCTAAAGAGATGCAGTCTTTTGCCAAAAACACAACCCAAACCTATTCTGCACCCAAATCGGCACTCATTGACTGGCCCGACTCTTCCTCTCACCACAGTTCCATGGACAAAACAATCTCACGCTATCAATTACGATTGGCAAACCTTACAAGACCACTTGATCAATTTGCCACGGAAATGTTTTCCTACGAAGTTGACCCTGCGGTCGCACAAGCGTGTTTACAGCTCGCACAGACAATGCGTGAACATATTGCACACCTGGCACAGCAAATGTCAAGCGACAGAGAGGACCTTGTTTACCAAGCGCACAAAATTTCAGTCACCAAGGACACAGTTGATCCACCAATTGTCTCTACTTCAGACTTCATTGAAGCCAGCAAATTGGCAAAGAGTGTTCGTCAGGCTACTAACCCGACAAGACAACGGGCATACAACAGGAGGACTCAAAACCGGAGTTTCTTTAGCGCAAATACTTACAGACCCACTTCTAATTCTAGCCAATCTCATCCATCGGGTCAAACTCAGACCGCCCACTATCAAAATGACAATGGTTCTTTTTTTGGGCGAGGCCAAATCCAAGGAGAGGGGGACGAGGCCGAGGCCGAGGCTACCAAACCCCTCAATCCAACCAGACAAGTCAGGCACAGACTGCAGGCCAGCCGTAGGTGGCCGTTTACAGATTTACAGAGAAGCATGGGCTCTCATAACCGACAACGAATGGGTCAAGTCGGTCGTCTCCGAGGGATTCAAAATCCCTTTCCACAAACGGCCACCGATATCCAGTTCAACAGCGTACCAAGCTCGAGTAGCAGCGGAGGAAGAGAAGGCGATCGATCAAGAGGTAATCGCACTCTTAGCCAAAAGAGCAATAGAGGTCGCTTCGGGCCCTGGTTTCAAGAGCCGAATATTCACTATCCCCAAGAAAACCGGGGACATTCGACCAGTCTTAAATCTAAGACCGTTGAATGCCTACGTCTCAGAGCGGCACTTCAAAATGGAGACGATGACGACAGTATGCGCAATGTTACAGAAGAACGACTTTATGACAAGCATCGACCTATCAGACGCATTTCTTCACGTACTAATCCATCCAGATTATCGTCATTATCTACAGTTCCAATGGAAGAACCGGAAATTTCAATTCCGTACACTTCCCTTCGGGCTCTCACTCTCTCCGCTAGTGTTCACCAAAGTTCTCAAGCCTTTCCTCAAATGGGCACGACGACGAGGAATTCGCATATCAGCGTACCTAGACGATTTAATAATCCTAGCCAAGAACAAAGAACAATCAATCCAGTTCACTCAACTAGTGCAAGACAAGTTGGCAGCGCTAGGATTCCTCATCAAGGAAGCCAAGTCTACGTTGATCCCGTCACAGAAAATAGACCATTTAGGCTTTACCATCAACTCCCGGGATATGACTGTCACAGTTCCGAAATCCAAAGTCAGGGACATACGGCGCGAGGCAGGAAAGCTGCTACGAAAAGGCGCCACTTCTTTAAGGGAACTTTCTTCGTTCGTCGGGAAAGCAATGGCAACATCTATGGCAGTGTTCCCAGCGCGATTCATGACACGGAATCTGCTTCACCTCAAGAACACAGCACTAAAAGCCAAGGGAGCTTCTTGGTCAGACACGGTCACCCTCACGGAACCAGCCAAGGAGAACCTTCAATGGTGGAAGGAGCAACTGACGTCATGGAATGGTCTGTCATGGATTCAACAACAGACACAAATGGACATATACACGGATGCATCGGACACCGGATGGGGGATCGTGATCAACAATCAAACATGGAGTGGCAAATGGACTCCACAAGAGAAAGACCACCACATCAACTGGAAGGAACTACAGACAGTTCTTCGAGCTGTTCAACTACCAATAACACAGGGCAAAATGATCAACATCATATGCGACAACACGACGACGATTGCACACATCAACAGGTTCGGAGGGACGAGGTCTCCGGAACTAATGAGACTAGCGGACACGTTATGGTGTCACTGCCTAGCAACGGGGACTCGACTTCGGACGACATACATCCCATCTGCATTCAACCCAGCGGATGCACCGTCACGGCGAATGATATCGCAATTGGAATGGAGGATCAGTCGCCCATTCTTTCAACAACTGGAACACCAATGGGGCCCACATCAGGTGGACCTATTTGCGTCAGCACAGAACAAACAGCTACCGGCATTTGTCTCATGGAAATTCCATCCAGATGCTCTGAAGATAGACGCCCTTCAACACAACTGGACAGAGATGGGCAACCTTTACATTTGCCCCCCATGGAATCTTCTATCAATCATCTTGGAGAGGATACAGACCCAGAAACTGACAGCAACAATAATAACCCCATGGTGGCCGAGTGCAATATGGTTCCCAACCATCAAGGAGATGGCAGTAGCACCACCAATCCCGATCCCTCGGGAAGCAGTCCTACCAGCCGTCGGAAGCGCAAGCGATCTCCTCAGCAAGAATCCACTCTGGTCATTGACAGCATGGAGAATAAGAGGCGACGTAAAGATCTAGATGCAGGACTCTCACC